TATTCCACATGGACCTGGCAGACTCAGAGTGCTCAGCTATCCAGCTTGTCCCCAAGGTGCCCCATATCCAACATCCAGGTGCTGGAATCAGGAAGCTGGCATTTGTGGATCCTAGAGATCTGAACTAGTCTTCACACTGGTGTGGAAACAGTTTAGGAAAAAAGCCACAGCCCTAGCCATTTTTCCTATTTATTGTGTTTCCCCCTTCACGGCCATTTCCCGCTTGTTAGCCTTTGTGTTGTGTGTTTTGTATGAAAACTAAGTTTTGGACCATATACAATCCATACAATGGGGCAACTAGTTGAAGAGTAACTCAAAAGATGATTAGTTGCGGATCATAGGAGGACACCTTAAAAAAGCATACACTTGTAGGGAAGTGGCAAGACAAAGGCAAGTAGCCATCAAACCTAGGTTCTGTGGGGACAATAGCCCACTCCAGCATGTGGTTAGCTCTTCTCCAGAACTCCAAACACATTTCCATCAACCAACACACTGAGCTTTCCTTCTTACTGCCTATTCCTTAGGTTGGGGTTTCTCCCTCTTTCCCTGGTCTTGGGACTCCTCTTCCCAAGCCCTAGCAATAAGAAACTATTTCTCATGCACATCCAAGATGAAAGAAAGAAAGAAAGAATAAATTTTCTCCCTAAAATGCTAAACTTCACCCCTGTCCCTCTTCTATCTGCACAACTGATTTCAAATCATGAGACTGCTTCAGCAACCCAGAGCCAGCCTCAGCTTTTCCCAGGGAATCTAATTCCTGACATCCTGACCCAGCCTCACAGACTTCCCTAGCTTCAGATGTTCCCATACAACCTGGTCATTGACAGACACAACCTCTGCTTCCAGGCCTTGACCAACAACTCAGCTTCCTCGGGTCCCTAACAGCAATGCTCCAATGTTAACTGGAGGCAGCCAGAGGGAACAGCAGCCACTTCCCCAAACCCCAGTACTCAGACATAAACCAAACAGATGGGAATGAAGGGAGCCCACTGGAGCTTGGGGCTCTGGCAGGCAGGGCCTTGACTTTCTGCTGGACCCTCTATCCCCAATTCCTCTGCCTGGTTAAATCATTTAGATTACATTCCTAGCTACCAACTCTTCCTAGAGTTGGCCACATTCTCCTCCTGAGCTGACTACCAAGTCAAAGTATTTTCCTTCAACAATCACAGGCCCTCTTTGGCTCCCCTAATTAACATCCCCAATGAAAATACACCAAACGTCCTAGCCCATTCTAACACAGACCTTGTTTCTTTTCTTACAAATAAGATCTGCAAGCTCTTCTGCTGCTGTTTGCAGCCCCAGTCAGAAATTAGACACTTTAACTTCTCTTCCCAGGGTATTAAAGGATCCCGCCGTGGTGAAAAAAGTGCTTTGTGTCCAATATGGGGTCAGGGAGAGAAGACCCTGGTGTGTGCGTCCACACTTGCATGTGTACGTTCCTGTGTGCGTGTTTGTGTCTGCGCGTGTTTTCTTGTAGGTTGTCTGCAACAACAGTTTCCTCTCATGCTGTTTTAGCTGAGGCATCCTGACAACCAGTGTTTCCTTTATTTTATTTTTTAGTAATAACTAATGCTCTGTGTATTTTTCTTTGTTCTTAAGACAACAGTTTCTCTATGTTGCACTGGGAGTTCTAGAACTATGTAGACCAGTGAACTCAGAGATCTCCCTGCCTCTGCCACCCAGTGTTAGAATTAAGGTTTGTCTCAATCCCATCCCTTAGTGTGTGTGTGTATGAGTGTGTGTGTGTTTTACTTTAGTTCCTCTCTAGTTCTCTGTTATTGCATTAATATTGCTTATTGTTTTGCTATTATAATCTTGGCTTAATAATTCTGAAATTCCTCGCCTGTTATCCTTGCACACTAGTTCCTTTCTTTGCTACAGTACTGAGGGTATAGGTCATGTTTGTGTGGTATAATGAAGTATCTGGCCTGTTTTCTTTTGTTGCACCTATCCTCAGTCCTGGTTCTTCTGTGTACAGTGACTTGAAGAAAAGCTTACAACAGCCCCCAGTGCAGCGATACAAAAGTAGGATACTCAGAGGACAGTTGTATTCATCTTATAACTTAAAAAACACATATATGTGACTAGACATACAAGATGACTCCTCTAAAAGTCTGAAAGACTTCATTAGTCAACTTAATCATAACGAAATGTTTGAAACGACAAAGAGTTAAAGTTACTTTCTAAAATGATCCATGACACACAGACGATTCGCCAAAACAGATCTGCACAGTAAAAATGTGTATATATATATATATATATATATATATATATATATATATATATATAAAAACCCAACAAAATAACAAGAAAGAAAAGCCGAGTAGAAAACCATTCAAGAATCCCATAAAAGTTCAGCTCCTGGAGGAAAAGAAAACAAAGGAGAAAGAAGGAAACCATAGAATAGAAGAACAGGTCAAGAAGTCAAACACTCAGGGCAAGCATCATCAGTCAGCTAAATCAACCAGAAAGAAATGAATTATCAGGGAGTGGAGATGGGCTGAAGATACCAAATGGAAAAAACAGCAAGTATTACCACAACTTTCAACTACTCTGGGATACAATGAAAGAACATTTAAGAATCCATGTGGTACATCATTTGGGGCAGGGCCTAGACCCTCTCCCTTGTGTCTAAGATCAGAGAGTTTTCTCTGGGTCGCCCATGGAAGCAGAAAGAGAATGGGTCATCGGGGGGACATGGGAGGATGGGACAGAGAAGGAACTGGGATTGACAGGTAAAATAAGATTGTTTCTAATTTAACAAAATTATCCAAGTACTAGAACCAGGAGATAACAAGCACAGGAGAAGAAACAAACATGTTCAGTGGAATCATATCCCCAAACTCCCCAAATCCAGGGAAATGTGTGCACATGGAAATACAGAAGACATTTGGAAGTCAAAATAGACATGACCAAAAAGTTCCTTCTGGTCCCATTAGGTTTAAAACGCCAGGTCCGGAAACCTAGCTAATGAGACCAAGATCTAAGGAAGTCACAGATCTCTGAGAGGAATGTTCAGCCACCACTTTTCCAAACCCGAATAATGCCTACAGCATAATCCCTAAACCCACAGAGAAGTTGATCACAGAAAGCCCGCTGCAACAGGTAAGAGACCTTACTAAAAAGGACACCCAATCAGAATGCAAACAGTTGTGGAGCCTGGGGCCAATGGACGTAACTACAAACACAAATCCTGTACCTAGGCTCAAAACCACTACAAAAGAGGGGGGGAAGAAAGATTCCCAAGAGACAGAGGTCTGCTGTGACAATGTGTCCTGCTTGGAATGGCAAAAGCTTACCAATCAGAGTGCCTAAACATGAGCGCAACAAGGATGAACAGGAATAACAACCACACTAATGTGGACTGGAAGAGTCCTTAGCCCTAGAGGATCTACATGCCCCTTGGGAATGGGGGAGACGGACCACCCCAGGGAGAAGCACACCGATTTGTTTATCCAATACTAAATGGTGCAGCCCAGGAGACATACATGCAAATGACATTACAGTGAGCAAGCACTTCCTTTTTAGGAAATAAATGTAGATACACACGCGTGTGTGTATATAATAGAATTTAATGGGAGGAAAAGCAGCCATGAACTTCAAAGGGCAAGGAGGAATTTATTGGAATATTAAGGGGGAGGCAATGGAAGGGGTAAGGAAATGAAAAAAAATACTATTATCTCACAAGGCAGTAACTGTTTGAGAAGTTACGGGCTGAGGAAGAGTTTCGGAGGGGTGGGGGTGGGGGTGGGAAAAGACCAAAATGTATCATAGGGAGACATTTTAATTAAAAATGAAAAATGCAGACACTACTGGACAAAGAGTATTCAACGCTGTCAGAGGAAAAGTGACCCTTGACTTATTCACAAAGGTATTTTCTCCAGAATTACTTCAGACCTCCAAGGGCTTAGAAAAGATGCTCCAAGAGGCTACACCTGCCAACCACATAACTATACTGCGCAATGCTGTCTTTCAATCAATGTAACTCTTCATAGCACGTTCCAAGTCAAATACAGACAACAGTCATTCAGACACAGGACGCCGGCACTGCAGAAGAAACAGGAATGCAATATACACATGAGGAAACAAGGTACCTGAAATCACGTCGTCTCAGGAATGAACACTTTTCACAAAAGTGGCGACTAGCAAAGCATCAAACATTTTTCAACTCAAGAAACCCTCAAGTCACAGAGAGATTAATGTCAAAATGCACGCAAATACAGTTCTGACTCAAGCAGCAAAAAGGTTATGTGCCCGGGTTCAGGGGCGTGAATGGGTGTTACAGGGAGGGCATCCGAGACCTGACAATTCTCCTAAATGTAAAGAGCTGTCCCAACTGAAAGAGGTAGATTAGCGCAAATAGCAAATCCAAAAAAAACACACAGGCAGGTAGATACATACTCAATAATACTACACACGTGAAGTAGCAATCAACTTTCAGGCTTTATCCCTAATAACCACCTTTCATCCCCTTATTTCAGATGAGCAATTGGCAGGGGACAAACAATCAAGGGACAGGATGAAGGTAAGACAGAGGATCCCAACCCACAGCAGCCGGAACTGGGGTCTGTGCTTCGTCTGAACATCACTATGACAGATGCGAGGCTGGAGAAAGAAAGGGCTGACCTCACTGTGGACAGGCAGCCACCACAGTGACTTCTCCCTAAGCAGACACAACAATGGGAAAGTCGGCATAACACAAGTGTATGACAGGAGTGGACGTTTCATCTTCGGTATTGTATTTGAATACTGGAAACCGTGCATGCTGCTTCTGCGCTGCTGGACTTTTGTCCCTGTAACCTACTCATCTTAGATTAAGGCTTCCACTTCCTCACCGGGATTACAGCATTCCCACCCTTGACAGGAGAGGAAGACACACTGCTTATAGACTGAAAATTTTATTACTGTGAATTCCAGTGCCAAACCATGTGAAAAGCAGTATGAAAAATTCTAGAAACAAGCAAGTCTGGACTCAGGTGTCTTCACACCTTAGCAGGGTTCTGACACAGGCTAACAGAACTGAAAGACAAGAGTCAGTAAGAGGTCAGCGGATGATGTATCGTACATAGGGAACATCGACGTCCTCTCCACTCTCGTTGTTGCAGCACAGCTCAAACACAAGGGTCCTCACATGATGGCCCAGGTTTCGCTTTGACACACGGCTCACAATCCCTGTCATCCTGAAGCCAGGGAACACAGAGTTAAGAGGGAAGACAGCAAATATGAAGGGAAGGGAGGAGGCACATTACAGCGAAAGAAAGTGAACTGTGTGAGTAGCACACTCAGTGGGATGCCGAGAATCCCCCAGGAGGCTTCCACTCCCACCAGCCCAGAGAGGCTAACTCACGGCTGATCCAACCGTTCCTTGAGCTTGGGGGGTGGCATAAAGAAGGAATAGAGCATGGACACACCGTGGGACAGCATGGTGATCTCCAGCCTGTGCTTTGTCTGCAGGGGTTCAGACGGAAGCGGGTGGTGACTGTGAGATGGACAGTGCTAAAGCAAATGAACAACTCCCCACACACAGGGAGTTCCAGGAGGAAAGTTCCCTACCTTAAAGTAGTCTAGAAACTGCTTGAGGGTCATCTCCTTGCCGCCAGGTTGTAGTGCCTGTACGTCAAAGCGATCCCACAATGTCCACTCCTGATCATAGTACTGGAGGACAAGACAAGTGCTAAGAGAGGGGGCTACCCCCACCCCAAATGTTCTTCTTAGCACGTATTAACCACAGCCCTTTTGTCAACAACACTCCTGTGGCCTGAACTGAGCATGATCAGTCAGTCAGCAGCTGGAATGTTTGCAACGAAAAGGACACCCACCACAAAGACCCAGCTGTCTCCTTCCCCCAACCTCAGCATTAAATGTTTGATTTAGTGAAGACAGACAGGACTCACAATGAACCCATGCTGCCAGCTCTTCTAAACGGCAACACCAACATTACCTATACTTTTTGGCACCATACCTGGTGACAGGTTGGAGCCAGGGGTGCAGAAAAGCTAAAGAAAGGCAAAGCCAAGTTGATAAAACTGTTTTTGTAAGACTCCAGTTGTTGGTGTCCCTGAACCACCTTGTACAGCTCCAAACACACAAGCCCGACTACAGCTGCTGTGGTGGTTGCAATGGTTGGGATGATTTGTTACTTAAACTTTGTAGCAAAATATTCATCTCTCCTCCTCCAGCACCTCCCTTAGCCCAGCCCCAAAGTAATAACCATGCCAGAACCATGTAGACCTATGCAATGGCGACCAAAACCACTCTAATTTAGTGACTGTTAGATGCCGTGTTTCTACACTTGTAAAAATGCATCACTACTTCAATCACTACACATTGAGGTACAACAATGTACCTGTAATGTAAGTAATTTTTATGATGGACTAATATAAGAAACTAAAAATCAAAACAAAAACAAATGAAACTAAAAACCAAAACCTACAAGGGGGGGGGGAGGGAGGGTTGGCAGTGAAAGGAATAACCATGAAAGCTAACATTTGTATCCTACTCCTCTAAGGAAATGTAACACTGAAAACAAAAATTAATAGTACAACTTGGTTCAATGCTCCAATATAAATATGTATATTTTGCTAGAGGGAAAACCCTGTTGTACAGCACATGCTTGGTTTTGAAGATAGGAAAAAAGTAGGTTATGTTTTCTATAAGGTTGACCTTAGAACTTATAATACCTAATGGTTTTTGCAGTAGGTACACAGGTAACAGTAGTTTCTTTAATCACTTCTTTTGTGTAAAGGTCTTCAGCCTTCTCTTGTTAAGGTTAGGTGACAGAATGCCTTCTGACTCAACGATGTCTATCTTCAGAGTGCCATCACTGCCTGCTGGACTTGTTAAATACTAATATTTTTTCAAATAAGGAGGACATAGACAAGGTCATTGGACCTTCACTTGAGTATCCAGTCGCCCCTCCAACTGGTTGTAGGTGCATAGGTCCTAACTATATGAAACCATGAAGTTTTATGGGTATATAGGTTAAACAGGAAAATCAGGAGGAAGTCCACCTACACAGCCTTGAAAACCATTATATAAAATGTATTGCCTAACATCTCTCCTTAGAAACTTTCCACATAAATATGATGGCATTATTTGCTACTTTTATGTCTCATGATATATGAAAACATTTAAATCAATATGTACAGTGCAAAATTATATATATTAAGATCAAGTATATCACACACACACACTGAAATGCCTAAATATATTTTTTGGTGTCAACTCTCTGAATAACACTCCTATATTTGAATATTGTGTGTCTTTAAAGTCAAGCTGTTTTATTAAAATAAAAGGTTTTGTACAAAAGTTTTACAGACGAAAGCTACATTTTGAGGGTCTGGTTAAGCATCAGAAATGAAATAGGTATAGCAACAAGCCATATATGTAACTTAAGAGTCATGTACACAGAGTGACTGGAGTAATACAGAGGCGAATGAATTAGCCATCAACTAAATTGGCAGATATTAATCTGAGGAACCGCTGTACATGCCTACTTTTGGTTATTATAAACAAGCTTAAAATGAAACTGAAGACCACACAGCAGCCACTACAATACTTTCCTCTGGAACCCTCAAGGGACTATATAAACTTATTGTTAACACCAGTTTTCTGAAGTTTTATACCCACAACCTATCATCTTAACCACCCCCCAAATGTTCTCATTATAATTTATGTTGCACTAAGTGATCTTGTTCACACACTTCTTAATGACTGAGTAAGCTTGCCACACCTGTAAAACATAGGTTGGAGGAAAATAACATTCACAGAGCCTCAACTGTATCATCATTTACACTAAGTACAATGCAACATGGAGTATTATTTAGACAGTCATGGGGTTTAATGAGCACCTTGAAACAAATAAGTTCTTCATATGGTCTTAAAACCTTTGAGCTTTAGTCGATTTTGAAAACTATCTAGTGTAAGCACTAAATTATAGGCACTGTTTTGTGTAAATTAATTAAAAGATTGTTGTGTAGATTTCATTGATACAGTGACACTAACATATTTTTAAGGGTTGGGATTTTGTTTGTTTGTTTTTGTTTTGTATGACATGTTTTCTCTGAGTAGCCCTGGCTGTCCTGGAATGTGCTCTGTAAACTGGGCTGGCCCTGAAGTTACAGAACCCACCAGTCTCTGCCTCCTGAGTGCTGGCATTAAAGGCGTGCACCACTACTAGCCAGTGATTGGGTTTTATGCCTGTGTTACAGTACTGTTTTAATGCCAATTACACAATTAAGGTTCCATCAGCTTTTTAACAACAGCTTTCTAACTCAACTGAGTGCAAATATATCTATCCATCCCAATGAATACTAAGTATCTTTCTCTGGAAGATACTTAGTCTGCATGCATTCTCCATCATCACTTTTGTTATTTAACCTTTCTGTGAAATTTATGCAAAGTGTTAGTTAGCTAAGAACTGTCCACATTCCAGAACCAGGAGGTTCCTACCCTCATCCTCACCCTGCCTAATGTCTCAGCAACAATGCCCTCCTATCACCAGGGCCAAGGTGACACATTTCCTCTGTCCCCACCTTACCCAGGTTTTCCATATGTAAATGCACCATATCCCTACCTCTCCATAAATCTGACATCTGATCCTGCCAGTGTGTCCATCCTCACTCAGAGGTACCCACTTTTCAAATTGGTGAAGTCTGTTCGGTGGTATCATTTCTGTGACATTCCTAGACCCTCATCACCTAGATACTCTGTGGCTACAAAACTTTCACACAAAGACTTGTACATACAGGACAGTGATCTCATGATTACTTTGACTGTCTAGACTTCCTCTTCCTCACATAGAGAACTGCTTACAAATTATGTTCCTCCCCCTCCTTTATGGACCCCCATGCAAGGGAAGCTTTGTAGTTCTTCTGGCTTCAATCTCAAGCAGTGCTCTCCCTAGAATTTTCTGCCTTCTTCTCCAGAATGTGTACCACTCTGCCCACTAATCAATAAGTAAGCACTGGAATTGGTCGCTAAACTCTTGAACATTTTGAGAGATGCTGCTCTGGTTTAGCTGCTGTCCCCACCTCAATTTTCTGATATTTTCTGCTCTGAACATTTTCATGGCCTACCTAAAGGCCAAAACCTGAGCATGAACTACAGTATCTGAGAGAAACTTCCAGAATAATAGTGCAAAAGTGGCCTACAGAACAGATCATAGAGAAACAGTCAGATATGCACATGTTCTGTTTTTATTATGGAGAGAACTGGACCAAGGTGCATGAGATTTCAGTAAAATGACACAGGATAAACCTATGGTGTAAATACCAACTATGCTAGTTCTTGTATTTTATTTCTAGAAACAGTACATTAAAACCACTGCATTGTTCTCAAAGTCATTTTTTGCACCAGGGATACATCCTGGCTCCATTGTCTGAGGTCCCTTAGACTGCTCAGTCCTTCTGGCTGAGACCCATATTCGGGGGTCTCTGAGTCATTCCCATGCTGGCTTCCCAGCTGTCAGTCTAGTGGCCCTTAGCTCCTCATTGTTCAGGTAAGCTGTCTCTATGTGTTTCTGCAGCCTGGTCTGTCTTCTCCATCTGCATCTGGGTTCTAGTTCGACTCAGTGTTTATGTATGGGTGTTTGATCCTGTTTCCAACAGGCATTAGTTGAGGCCTCCATGGAAAAGTTAGTTGTTGATCTCACTCTCCGGGAAGGGCATTTATGACAGCCTTTCCATGGAAGCTCAAATTGTTAGTTGGGAGTAGTCTTGTAGTTCTCTAGACCTTTCTTTGTGTTCAATTTTATCTTCAAACCAATACTGGCTCATTCTTTTATGTTCTCTCTCTCTTTCTCTCTCTGTCTCTGTCTCTCTCTCTCTTTCCTGTCTTCTATTCCTAATCAGGCTCAATCTTCTTGGTCACACATGGTTTCCTTTCCTCCCCCCTTGTTTTTTCCTGCTTCTCTCTCCATTCACTGTCCCCCCCCCACTTCCCCTGTGCTCTGGGGGACTTGCCCCTTCCCATTTCTGTGAGGGACTTTATACGAATTTCTTAGAATACACCTTGTATCCTTGTATCCTAGTTCCTCTGGTGATGTGAATTATAGGCCTTAATCTAGAGATAGGAGAGAAGCCCTAGTCCCTACTTCACATGACCTGTCAGATCTACATGACCCCAACTGGATGGCATTCCCCTACATATGGAATTGGGGTGGGAAGATGGGAGGAGAGGGTGGTTAAAGTGCATCTGAGAGAGCAGAGAGGGTAAAAGGGATGGATGGAGGGAAGTAAGGAGGGAGGGAGAGGGAACTTGGATCGACATGTAAAATAATAAATTAAATTTAAAAAAGTGCTTTGACTCCAAAATTTAAGTTCAAGGACAAGTTACTGGGAAAAGGTTTTCTATTTTTGTTTCCACAGAAAATGAAAAGCTGGGGATTCCTTCCAGACTAATGTGGTTTGATCATGCCAGACAGCCTGAAACAGAGTACAAGGTGATCCTACATTCAAAACAGCTGGACAAAGCAGCCCTACAGACTAGAGCCAGGATATCTGAATCTTCTTCGAATCCCCCAAGACAGCGCCCCTTACCAGCAGGAAGTAGTTTGGAAAGAACAACGCCAAAATTCCCAAATATTGTCTATAAGTGTTTGATTTCATTTAAATGGACTTTGTTATATAAAATAATTTAAAAAAATTTAAAAAAGAAACCCTGAATTGTGTCAGTGAGCATCTTTTTCCTTTTGAACAAATATGTGCCCATTAAATCAGGCAGAATGTAAAATTGAGTTAGGATTAGCTAATTATCTTTAAAACAGCCTTTTCTTATCTCTGAAATAAACACTTGTTGCTCCCTGGACTCGTCCTTCTGATCTGGGAACTCTGAGACCCTTTGTTCCCTGATATTTGCATTTCAAACTGAAGATGCCCCCTCAACACACATACACACACAGAGAGAGACAGAGACAGACAGAGACAGAGAAAGAGAGAGACAGAGAGAAACAGAGAAAGAGAGAGAGACAGAGAGAGACAGAGAGACAGAGAGACAGAGACAGACAGAGAGAGACAGAAGGAGAGAGAGACATTGAGAGAGACACAGAGAGAGGCCCATTAGGGAAAAACCTCCCAGGGTAGTGCTCTCCTTGTTACCAGTCTTAGCAAAACTGGCTTTCAGACATCAGCACCC